TGTTGCTGCATTTAAACCAAAGAAAATTCAGAATTCCATCAAGCGAGGCTGGCCCTTCTGCTATGTTACAGTGCTGCGTCTCGGTGGGAGAGGACGGGTGAGAACAGGGCCAGGTGTGTATTGCTTCCTTCTGCGCTTTTCTCGGGCCTCTGAAAACTACAGCTAGATAGTGCTTCAGAGCTTGAACTCATCATAGCTGTTCTTAGTCCAGAAAGCACGTACTTGTTTTGTGACTGAGCTAAGTATGTCCTTGAATATTTCTCCACTGTTTTGTTAAGATTTTGCACTTTTCTTAATTTTGGTAACTTCCCTTACGTGGCAAAATTAGAAGGCTAGTAGGCCAAGTTAACTGAAGCCTCTTCATTATGTCATAGCCTGGCTAGAAGCATACAAAAAGCACTAGTTACTTTGGCAACTTCTTAGAAGAAACATGGGCATTTTCGATCACACGGTATCTACTCTTAGAAATTATTATCATACGTGATATGCAGATTCACAGTCTTATAAGCTTCAGCACCTTCATGTCTGTGTGTCGTTCTTTATGTGAAATGAAGTTTTCGCTCACCTTAATCGTATGCCAAAACTGGTGTTATAGATTTAGAGTAGTCAGGCATCTTCAACTTTTTACCAAAACAGATGTCAAGTCATGTGATTGTAGAAAACTGGAACCACTTAGTTGCTTTTCAGGTCATAATAGGTGTCAGGATTATGTCTGATTATGGGGACTTAATTGTGAAATACCACAAACATCTTCAGTAATATATCTGACTTCAGTTGTAAGCAAATATGTAGATCATTATTTCATTTCAATGTGTACAACTTCAGAAGCCTTTAACTGATAGGTGCTGTAGTCTCCAAGCCTCCATATGAAAGAGCAAGATGAATATAAGTTTGTTTTCATAACACTTTAAACATCCAAGGGGATAAAATGAATTTTTTTAATACTAACTTGATAGATTTTTTCCTGAACAGTGACAGGGTACAGTGAATGATTAATTCTTCCTCTTGTTGCTGCAAAGTGCAGGCATGCCAGGCACCAAATATGGGAACCCCCACCTCCGGAAGATATCTTAACCGCATGTTGAAATACTTTGCTAAATCCCTGTCTTGAGACAGCAGTGTGTCCCAGGTAAACAAACAAGGTAAACCAGTAAATCTTTTAAGATGGCTGTGAGGTGGGGAAGCCTCTGTAGCAGAGTAGTCTTATTTGCTGGAAAAAGTCAGCCTACCAAGTATGTTCAAAGTCAAAAATACCAGTGTAACTTGCAAGGAATGATGAATGAAGGTACAAGGGATAGTTTGCATCTCCCATTTATAGTGTTTCAGATTCTTGGAATCTAATTCATAGCTATGAGTTGAGAGAGTTTATCCAGGTCCTGAGGGAGCAGCTTCTGCAAGGCACATTGGAGAGCATTCTCACGACTTGCATATCTTCCTTTTTAGGCTCATTTTATAGAGATTCCGTTACCTGAAATGGACCAGTGAGAAGACTGTTGCTAGTGCTCTCTTGCAGGGCAGAGTAGCGCTCAGGACAAAGAACATGAAGGGGAAGCTCTGCAGCTGATAGCAACATCTCTGCTACTGCCAAGGGTGCAAGTCTGCTGTACTGGGGTGGGGGACTCTGTTAATGTCTGTCTGTGGCAGGTTTAAAGAGCCTGCTTGGGTACTGCTTACATATTGGGAGGGAAGTGAATAAATATGAATGCAGCATTTGAACAAGTTGGGAGGTCTTTGGAGGCAGTGCAAATTACTATTTTGCTCAAAATGCAGTGTTGTGTTGGATTTCTGGAGGTTAAGTGGCAGTCTAGTTCGTTAGCATGTCATGTGGACTCACTGGTTGGGGTATAATGCTGTGTGGACAAGTCTTCAGGCCCTTTCCCTTTGTGCTGGATTTGTCTCCCAGCTGATGCAGTTTGACAAGACTGACTTTAATAATCTTTACTACTGATTTTTCGGTTATCATTGTGTGTCATAAATTTGTGTAGTCTTGGTAGATATAGATAGGAAAAGGACAAGATTCATTTTTGGTATTGTAGGGTACGTATCCAGTAAAGAGAGAAGAGTTGCGTATATTTGAGCTGTGACTGAATTTGGCTTCCAATAAGATTACAGTCTAATAACTTAAAATTGTAGAATGCAGAGCGATGTGAATGACTGGCACTAATTATTTTGGAGGTGAAGGGGGAAAGAATAGAAAAAGGGAAGAAGAGGAGAAGGGAATATCATGATTGGTTTTATATATAGTACCTCTGGTTTTAAAAGAAAATGTGAAATTTGTGAATGTCTGAAGACATGATGCTGTTCTTACTGTGGTGCTGGTGTTTTTTCCAGGCAGTATTTGTAACTGCCCTTTGGAACTCTAGTCATAGGTTGCAGAACAATGAATCGCTAATTGCACCAATTACATATCTTTAAGTGTTGGTTTTTTACTTGTGTCTTGTAGATAGCATGATAGGAAGCCAGAAACACCCAGTGGTGTTGATGGATCACTTCCTTTTAAATATTCTTTACATTATATTAATTAGCTGAAATAACAAGCTAATGAATAGATGATTAGTAATAATTTGTACTGAGCAGCCCCACCTTTCACGCACAATTCAGTTTTGTAACCAGAATGTGAAGGCTTACACACGATACACAAATAATGATACTAAGTAATATAAAAATTAAACTGTGAATTTAAAAGAAAGGTCTACATAAAAGCATTAAGATTTCTAGTGTCTTGCATTCTCTGTCTTTACATTGTAGCTATGAATGTGTTAAAGTTCATAACTTTGGCACGGAGTAATCTAATAATTCATCAGGCCACTTACAGTGTGTCAGGATTTTTAGGTGTATATAAAGTCTGTCTGTAACTTTTCTGATTTTTTTTCAACAGACCCGCTGGCTTATGTTTCCACACCAAATACAGAGGTCTTCTGGAGGAGTAGGAATTCAACACTGCAACATGCTTTATATAATTCAGAAATTTAAAAATAAAATTCTGCAGTGTTTTAGTCTACTTGTGACCTTTCACAGTGGTGTTGCCTCGCTGTGCAAGACTTTGAAAGCAGCTGTATTAACAAAATATACAGCAGAAAAAGAACAAAAGTAGCAGAATTTAAAAAAAAAAAAAAAGAGAAAGGAAAAGGAAAAGGCAGCAGTGTCATGACCAAATAGGTCAGCACAGGAGCATTGTAGTCAGTATGTGTGAAGGCCTGTAGCATTAAAAGGAAAGATCGTGTAAACTGTCTTCCAGTATCTGTCAGTAATTAGCAATTCTTTACGTGGTCACCATTTCATTTTATCTAGTTAATTATCTTTATTTCTTAGGGTTACAGTTTTTAGACAATGAGAAAAGAAATGGCACGCCTTGAAAAATAAACATTTTCCTCTTGGGGCTGGGCTTACATGAAAGTGAGGTGATCCCACAGTAAGTCTATAACAAGAAATGGCAGGTTTTATGTGGCAGGCACACTGAACATTGTTTCCCAGGACTTCCAAGTGAGGACTGGCATCTAGTTTGGTTCCTGCTCTATTGTTGTAAGCATGCCTATTTTAAAATGCATCCAGTTCTCCTCCATCAGAGAAGTTGGTGAACCAGGAAGTGGCACAGTGACAAGTGGTTGCAACTGTGCAAAATCTGGTAGTATATTAAATGCAGAACAGCAGAGTTGGATTCCTTGTTGAACTGAAATGAGGGTGATTGAACGTTGGAACAGGTTGCCTGGGGAGGCTGTGGAATCTCCATCCTATAGATGTCCAAGACTTAATTGGATGTGGTCCTGCACAACCTGATCTAATTAGACGTGCTCTGAGCCGGGGTTGTGCTCGATGGCCTCCAGAGGTCCCTTCCAACATAAATTATTATTTGATGCTGTGAATGGGCAGTTTGTACTTGGGAGTTAGTGTGCCACAGAATCAAGTGTCTTCCTGCTGGCTGTGCCCACAGTGTAGGGAGTTTCTTCCCTCCAAGTGGAAGGCAAGCTCCTTTCAGCGTTCCTGTTTGTTCCACAAACTTGCAAATTACTGTTTTTAATCTGAAACTTCAATACCTACGTAATTAGTACATTTCATAGACAGCAAGAGGCTTTTGTTTGTGTGAACTTTTAGATTTGTAATGTGAGAAAAATGCATGTGCCTGCTGAGGAAAAGCATACGTTCTTGTTCCCTGTCGCTTCTGTTCTGCTGCACTGAAAGTGGATGAGACTGGCCTGAAGTCTGGAAAATAACTGAACACAACAGTAGGGAATGGAGAGTGTGTTTGTGCTTACCCTTTTCTAGTTGTTGCAATATAAAATCCGCTCATTTGGCAGATGAAATGGAAGGTGCCCCCTTTCACACATGCTAATTGCCAGCTCTCTAAACCTCCTAGGAATTTCCGTTTTCTTTGGCTCACGTCATCCTCAGCAGTAGAGGTTTTGTAATTGGAATTTAATTAAAGTTTTGTCATATCTGTGAGCCAGAACAACACTTTCCTTGTTCTACATTTTTGTTTATGTAGTTCAGAGAGCAGTAGGGAATAGTAACAATTTGTGTTGATTAGAATTCACTCAAAGTGTGTGTATGTCTGCCACATAAATTACCTCTTCTCAGTGGCTTGTGGGAGTCTAGCAGGGCACTCGGATCCTGTGGTATGAGGTGCTGTGCGTGGCGTACAAGACAGGTTGAGATTGCAGTGTCTTTGAGGGTGGGACTCTTTTCTGGCTAGAGTAACTTTTAATCGTGGTTTTTGGTTTGGGGTTTTTTTTTTTTTTGAATGGTTAATCTATTAGCCATTCTTAATTTCTTGTTAGAAGGTCATGGTCAAGAATGCATCCATAAACTTCAATAAACGTAAACCATTTTTAAGTAATCGGAAAATTCTGAACAGCCCTAACCATAGTGGCAAGGGCATGAAACTGAATTGATGAGTATATTTTTGTTGACAGGTTGTTAATAGAAATGACAATCAAGCTGGACTTACGAGTATACTAAGAACACCATTTTTCTAATTTGATACCAAACACCTTTATCTGAGTATGCGGTAACTTCAGTTGATTTTATTGTGCATAACTTGCTGTATTATGGGAGGTAAATAGTTCGCTTCTTATCTCACTATGAAGTACCAGATCATCTTCCTCCCTTCCATTGAGAAATGTATGATAATCTTACAAATTTTTTTTTTTGAGATTAAACATTAAAGTACATTTCTTTTAGTAGAGGGATAGGAAAGATAAAGGAGGCAACATACATGTATTCAGATGTCTTCAATTTTTTTCAGACACCTGCAACAAATACATCACAGTTTTCAGCTTCGTTCATGTTTAGTTTCTGTAGGCTAGAACTTGCTGGACTTTGGTCTTTTGAGGACTTCTGCTAATTATAGTGGAGTAAAAAAAATTATTAAAACCAGATTTTGCAGATTAGAACAGCTGCGCAAATCTTGTTGAGAGTTACTTTATTCAGAGTTGCGCAAGGCAGTCTGCAAAATAGAAGATATTTGGAAGAATTTTTGGCATATACTTTACGTGTACCCTGAAGTGCTCTGAAACTTATGGCAAATTAATGAAGAGATTGTGCTGTCGGGTTGGTCTCCTGTCCGTCTTGTACGGAGTGCTGCCCCTGTAGGATTTCACACATTGAGGGAAACCACAGGGACTGATGCCCAAACAAAGATATGAGGCATAATTTCCCCTTAAATCTTGTGTTCTAGGGCAGGGTTTTGGGGTGGATTTCCCTGCCTGCTTCCTGCGCATCCTGCCATAGGAGTCGGCAGCACTGTGGAAGTGCGAGAGCGGATGGAAAGCGCCTGTGGCCGTGTGCTGTGGGCCTTGCCTCTCCTCGGCCCCGCTGCTCTCTCTGCAGCCCTCTGTGTGTGGAGCAGCCCTTGCTGTGGCGTAAACCCCAGCTAATAAATGCTGCAGAGCTTGTTAGCCTGGGCTTCACTCTTCTCGGGGGTTTGCCTTTGAAGACATGCCTCCGCAGTTACAGGCTGATGCTCGGGGGGGGCTGCTGTAATTTCCCTTTTTTAAAAAGTATGTTTTCACACACAAAGATAGTGAAGTATTCTTGCCCTTTGTTGATGGAGAAGTGTATGCCTAGGCTGTATTTCAGACTTGTTTCCTGCAGTGCTGGCAATTGTATACCATGCATTCAACTCGTAGTTAATTTTACATGTAGATGTTTCTTATCTGCAGGACAGTGACTAGGAAACATACAAAAATGGAAGATAGTTGTGCTTTTATTTGTTACAGGTCTGTTGTTGTTTGTTTGCTTTAAATTTTTTCAGGGCTTCAGTTTGAAGCAGAAAGCCCTGCCTTCTCAAACCCTGGGGGGTGGAAGTGCTGGTCAGGCGAGACCTTTGTATTTTTTTTTTTGCCCAGCAGTTAAACAGTTAATTGCTATTTGTATTTTTATCTTTATAATTCATAATTAATAGACTGGGTTAAAGAGGATAGTTAAGACTGTATTTGTTTAATTTTACTGACATATTCGCAAATTTCATGTATAAACCAGGAAAGTCACAGGCTTAAAGTTGTTCTCTTTCATGATTTTGTCCAGTCCCCCACCTCCTCCTCCACAAATTATTTGATACCTGTAGGTGTAACTTGCCAGTGCTGGTAAGAAACCTTAAAATCTTTGAATAGTAACGTTACGTAAGTAGTAATTAATGCTTTCTTAAATCTATCTTTGCTGCTGAGTGTTTTTTCTCTTTATGAAAATACTGAGTATGTGTTAAATTCTGAAAACAAAATATAGCTCTGAAGTCTATGCTTAGGTGTTTCTGATCTGACTCCCAAAGTGACAAATATGATGCTTTTCTTAAGCCAGGGCTGCCACGCTGGTGTTGCTTTGTGACCTGCTGTAATTTGGAAAAGTCAAACGTTGAATTTTCTCTCAACAGAAAATTTTTAAAGCTGGAGATACTAACCAGGATGGACAGCTGGATTTTGAAGAATTTATGAGGTATCTTAAAGATCATGAGAAGAAGATGAAACTGGCATTTAAGAGCCTGGACAAAAACAATGATGGTATGCCTTGATTTATTTTACTTGTTCAAACATTGTTTGATGAAATTCTGCATTAAAAGTTATTTTCATTTATATTCTTTGTCTAAACTGGAGACAAAGAGTTGTGAATATGGAACCCCTACTTCTTTTCCTTAATAGGATCATAACTATAGTTTACTATGGATTGAAAAAATGAATTATTATAGTCTTTTTTCTTTTTATTATCTTCCAGGTCCGTTGATCTGGGGCTCTTTGTTCCCCAGGTGGAGAAACTATAAGGAAGTTTCTAAGTATCTATTAAAGATAAAATAGTTTTTAACTCACTGAATGTTTCCATCTCATTTGGTTGCATGATTTTAATGTACTTACCTTCACTCAGTCCTTGTAGTAAAATACATCATCTGTGTTTTAATTGATTTAAAATTATCTTTGCTATTATGTACAGTGGAATTTAGGTGCTCCAAGGTGCTAAGTGTATTAAGCTCCATGTTTTAAATATGTATCATCTTTCTTTCAATGTTTCAAGGAAAAATTGAAGCATCAGAAGTTGTGCAGTCCCTCAAGATATTGGGTATAAGCATTTCAGAAAAACAGGCAGAAAAGATCCTGCAAAGGTCAGGAATTATTATTTCTTCAAGTACATTAAGCTGCTTTGTATTGTTAATTATTATATTTTTATAATTCAGAGAACAGGATAAATGGGATTTGGAAGGTGTTGGTACCTTCAGTGGTGCCTTTATAGGAATTCTCACATATTCCATCTGTTCTTTGGTGATAGTAAGTCTAGTCACTATTGGAGCATCTGGTTCTGGGAGGAGAATGTTATCTCATTTCCCTGTAAGTGTTGTTGATAGAATGAAGCATTATATTATGTTTTCAAATGGAATATGCCAGATGCACTTGGATGAGAAAACCATAGTATTGAAAGACCATGGCAGATTCAGCCTTGAAGTCTCCATATGGAATTTACAATCAGTTGTCACTGATGTGGTCAATATTAAAAAAAAAAAGGGTGGGGGGGGCACACGACAAAACAGAAAAAAAAACATCCCCGCTACTATTTCCTTATCTAGTTTTGTTCAATTTCTTTTCAGTATTGATGCTGATGGCACAATGACAGTAGACTGGAATGAGTGGAGAGATCATTTTATGTTTAACCCAGCTACAGACATTGAGGAAATAATTCGATATTGGAAACATTCCACTGTAAGTTCAACTTTGCTTTTAACTTAGTGCAGCTTTTAAGTTCACCTGTGCTGGGTTAATTTGCAATATTGAGTATAACAGCTTCACAGTTGTTATATTTCAAGAATACCTATATTTAAAATTGTTTGGTTTTCCTTTTCACTTTGTGCTCTCCCATTTACAAGCAGGATAGTGTGATATGAGTTTCTTCTGAACAAAGGACTTCATCTAAACTTTGCTAATAATTATCAGAAATTCTTAGGAAGGAATGCTTTTCTTCCTTTGGCGTTATTCCACAGAAAGATAATAACCTCAATATTAAATCTTTTTCTTTTTCTTTTCACGTTACAGTACATTTCTATGTTCAGTGCTTTTGATGTGTTGAAACAAATTATAGAAGTATTTTAACTGTTTCGTACGTTGAAATTAGTTCAGTATTTGCATTTGTATAGTAATATTATCATTATCATAAAATCACTGGTGTCATAAGTGATGATTTTCTGTGCACATGTTCTCACACTCTTTTGTGGTATAGAATTTCATTTAAGAATGGCAGAATATACAGCAATAGGCTATCCACTGTGCAGATAATTTTTTTTTTAAATTACTATCGAATGGAGCTCTTGCCACCTCAGTGACTGACTTTTAAGAACAAATAATAAGGTAAGTAAACCAATAGTAATCCTGTTTGCTAAATATCCTTCCTGTAGATTATTGGAGTAATCCATAAAGTTAGGTGAAGACAGGTTTCTTTGTATATAGTGAGACCATTTATATCTTCAGAGATTAGTCAGCATTTCCATAATAAAAAACAGTTTATAAGATCTGAAAGCTTTGAGTGTTTCACACTACAACCTCAATTCAGAAATGCTTGCCAAAAGGGAGTTAGCTCCCTGTTCGCTGAAGAAAACATTTGAAGCGCTGCTATGAGATCAGATAATCGTGGTCCCAGCTTACTTTGTGGAAAAAAAACCACTTTTTGCTTTAATAAAATGCTTTGTATTACTGTTATTAAACCTAAGATGATTTTTTTTTTTTTTTCAATATGGAGTGTCATTTTTTACCCCCATAAAGCAATTTTAGAAGTCTGTTGTCATCTTCCAGTGTTGCAGTCAGCTGATAACCCAGTTATCACAGCAAGCAAAATCCAGCTATACGGCAGCACAGCTGGTCTTTCAGATAAGAGCAGATGTAAGACCTCACATGCCTGGCTGGCATTGACGGCTCTTCCAATACTGTTTTTATTGTAAAATTTTAATTGCTGTCAGACTCTTCCAAGCAGATAGCTGCATTGGCATAGAATTATTACGAGTTGGTAGCTGTGGCCTTTCTGTTATAAACCCCCTCAAATTTAGCTTTTTTTTAGTTGTGTTTAGGGCTAGGTAGACACAAGGTGTAAACCCTGGTAGACATACATAATATCTCTAAGAACACTGAAATTATATTTTGAGAGTTCTGATTGATCTTTTGATGACTCCATGTAGTTGAGCAACTGATGACACCTTACTTGGAAACCACCAATGTCAGAAAGATGAAAGGATTTTTCAGTTAGTCTGTTCTATGTTCAATATCCAGAATAGTTGGTGCTTATCCTGTTTGTCCAGTGGCTATATCTGTAATCTGCATCCTGAAATTCTTGTGTTCCAAATGACCAAGACAGTATTCTTTCTACTTGACAGATAGGGAATGCAGCATAAATAAGGAATGTAGTGTCTACAATTAAAATCAACAGTAGTTAAAAAAAGAGTTTATCAGTTAACACGCTTTCTGGTCAGTACTTATCAGTTATTAAAACATTCTTGCTTCTTTATAGGTTTAATTTATGCATAATATTGGCTTTGCATTATCTACAGTGTATTTTTTCTCATATATCATGGTTATAAATTACATGAAGACCAGAGACTATGTTTAAGTGATATGTGAGATTCCATAGTCTTATGTCTTGGACAGCTTTATCACTAAAGCCTATAGTAATGTTGTTCTTTGATCAAATTGAATAGTAATACAAACATGCACCTCTTAATGAAATTTCAAACTTTTATAGCTGAAAAAAGTCATTAATGTGTCTTTCAATGTAGCTGATGTTAAGGAAATTTATAAAGCACTAGTCAAACTTGTCATTTTGGAAGATAATACACAGCAGTTACCAGAAATAGAATATTCTGATATATCAGCTATTAAAAAAGCTACTTTAAAATGTTAGGGGGGGTGGGGTGAAGGGGAAATCCCACATATGTGTGAATAAATTACCGTGAGAGAGAAATCTCGTGTTAGCATCCTTAGGAGATTACCAAACTAATCCCAGAAGGCTGTCCAGTGAAAGGTTAGCCGCAACATATAAGCATTTGAGCTTTAGTGCTGGCTGTAAAGGTCTACTGATCATGACAGAATGTCTTTGTTTGGGCCATACTCAAGGCAGAAATTTGTCATAATTTTTAATGATGATGGTACAGTCTTTGAAATGGTGGGTCTGTGGTGTTATTACTCAATATCTATGTAGAAGTCATTAAAAGTTGCTATTCATTGAATAGCAATACCAATCCATAGCAAGTTAATTATAGAATGTAAATTAGAGGTATTTTTTAGTTTTAACTAGCATTTTATTTACATATTCTCAGGTGGTAGGTTAATTTGGAATTAGAACTGTTGATAAAATTGAGATGATGGAATGAGATAGTTATTTGCACACCTTTGCTTTGGATTCTAATAGGTGTTGGATATAGGAGATAGTTTGACTGTTCCAGATGAGTTTACGGAGGAAGAGAAAAAGACTGGACAGTGGTGGAAACAGCTGTTGGCAGGAGGAGTGGCTGGTGCTGTCTCTCGAACAGGTACAGCACCGTTAGATCGCCTTAAAGTGATGATGCAGGTAGGTGCAATGTTCAAGAACTTTTTAGTTTCCAATGTATCAATTCAGTTTTTAGAGAGCTGTTATGGAAAACTGACGGCCAAATACAGTATCTAAATTCTGGAGGTCTACTTATGTTTTGACAATTTCTGTATTTTGTGTTCATAAAAATTGTCCTTTCCATAGTGTAAACAAATGTAAACAAAATATTATAGTACTTGTGCCACTAAAATAAGATTTTTTTCAATAGTGGATGTGTTTTTGCTAGTTGATATATTTAAGCATTTTAATACTTAGGTGATGAGTTTTACAATCTAATCAGAGCAGTGTTCTTTACTGTGACTTTGTTTTTTTTAGGTTCATGGTTCAAAATCAAACAAAATGAATATAGCCAGTAGTTTTAAGCAAATGTTGAAAGAAGGCGGTGTCCGATCCCTCTGGAGGGGAAACGGTGTAAATGTTGTGAAAATAGCTCCTGAAACAGCTATTAAATTCTGGGCTTATGAACAGGTAGGATGATAAATCAGGAATTAAAATAATGGTAAATAAAATATTATATCACTCTCACTGTTCATTATTTGCACTGTTGTATTATATAGAAGTTCTTACCATGGTTGGGGATTTTGTCAGAGTAAGTTAGAGCGACTTTCAGATGTAAAATAGTCTATTCTGTTAATAGAATACGTGGTATTAGGCAGATTTTGCTATTGTATTAAAAGCAGTGTAAATAAACTAAATCTGTCATACATCTTTAAACTGTCCTCCAGTCTGCATAGCTTTGTATGGAGTACTGCATTAATATCTAGTTTGTTGCTTTGAAGTGACAACAACTGAAAACTTAGCACTTTATGCTAGCTGAACTTACACAGGATTCTTTTTAAGTCAAGTATCACGGTGCTATGTAAGATGCCCTCAGCCTGGATTTCAGGGTTATATTTATCTCTGAATCAGCTTTAAGCATCATGTTAAGGCCTAATCCTCCTTTGGAAAATGAGCTCCAGTTCTGGTGTAGTAAATGGTCTTTATTTTTCCTCTGTGGGGCTTGCTAGTGCCTCAAGTAAGAATAAATGAACATATTGCACATCTCTGTACAACTATGAAATACAAGCGACAAAGAGTCAAGTAAACTTTGGGATATCGCAAGACTGAACGGCAGATTTTGATGCCATAGAGTTACTTTGAGCATATTATTCCTTACTCTTGCGCTGCCTTTCAGAAGCTGATGGCGCATTCTTGCATGATGGGTCTCTGTCTTGAATGAAACAGTATGTACAGCTCTCTAAGTGAACGTGCTAGTTGATCTTTCATTCTTTGATTGGAGAACTGGATCTGCAAGGGAGTTGGGTTCCTCTTTGTTACCTGGGGGCCATAGTGTGCGTACTCTTGTGTTGGCTGTTTGTAGAATACCTGACAGTACTGTGGGTGGCTGAGGTGTTCAATGTAAAGGATTCTTGCAGGCTGGAATATTTATTATATTCTTGAGAATCTTTGTCCACAGAATTGCAGTGAGTATAGTGCTAAATTTGCTGGGTTAGTAAATGTAACTGTAAATACACGAAAAAGTAGGTACAGCTTGAAAAGACATTTTGTACTGTACTCCTGCCTCTCATAGTAAATCTTGCTGTTCCTAAAAGGCATGTGATGTTTATTTTGTGTTTTAACTCTACAGTATAAGAAGATACTCACTAAGAATGATGGAAAATTAGGCACCGTGGAAAGATTTATATCTGGTTCTTTGGCTGGAGCAACAGCACAAACTTCTATTTATCCCATGGAGGTAAGTAACAGAGAATCTGCTTCCATTGGAGACTCTGCCAAATGTCTGGTTCATTTCCAAAGCAAGACCCATTTTGCTCTTGAAAGTATTGTAGGAATTCCTCTATATTCCTATATCCTAATTTATTTTTACTTTGGACTTCCTTTCAGAATTTCAGTACTAGGCATTTTAGAACATGCTATGTTCTAATTGATAACATATCATTTTTCTATATATTTGGCTGTATAATATTGTCTAAAGCAATGTTTAAATAAAACCTAGTTCAGGGAAAAAAAAATCCAAGAATGCATTTAAAATTAAGTACATATTCAAGCTATTTTCTAAATTGAGCATAAATCTTTTTCCTGCTGTATGTAAGCAAGGAATGGTCTTGTCTGTAGCGAACTGATGAAGTTCTGTTGCATTATTGGGAGCTGGGTCTGGTTAGGAGATCAGTGTGGAGGGAGAATATAACAGCTACAGTTGAGGCTGGGTGGATTAACTGCTCTTTCCTCTGTAGGACATACTTGTATGTGGTACTACATATGTTGCAATTTAACTAGCGTTAATATATTAACTGTTCTGGGGTAGCATTTCACATCCTGATTTTTTTTTTTAAATAGAAGTGGGATGTACTTCCTTTACTGCTGTTTCCCCAGAAAGTTTATCTTGTTGTGCGAATAACTGGAATATATGTTGGATCTGGGATTAAACCAATACCAACATCAAGATTTGGAAGTAATGGAAAATGTAACCTAAATACCTTTTTCATAGGGAGGGGTCAGTAGGAATAGAACTCAGCTGTTTTCATTGCTGACAGTGATAATGATCTCTTTTTAAATAGCATCCTTGTTGTTGGAGCCGCTGAATCACAGCTAGCCCAAGTACAGAGATGGGTTAAGTTATAGAATAACTGAAATGTTATGTAGATCATCTGGATTATACTGATCAATGGAGACAGGCAAACTATTCTAAAATAAGATGCTCTGATCTTCCTAACAAAGATATAATACTGTCCTAGAAGTGTCTTTTAGGGTGTTTCTAAGAGGAAAGCAAAGTGTCAGGAAACTCCTGAGGAAGCTGCAGTCTTATGAGGCTTTAAAGCAGGCCAAATTCTTGCTCAGGAAATTCCCTCTGTGATTTCTTTTGGATACTGTTATTAATTTCTTTGTCCTAAGATGCTGTATAGACTTATTTGCATTATTAATCAGATGCTGGGTTTCAGAAGTGAGATGCAATCTTTATATCCCTTAACTGCCTCTCAAAGGGTTGTGCTTTTTGAAAGATTATTTTCTTAATATGCTTTGCTGTTCCCAGATGAGAAGTGTGATCTGCTAGTATGTTAATGCTCTCACTTGTTCTTTAGCTAATGCTTCTATTAAATATTGCCCACACTATTGCCTTCAAGTTGATAAAAAAATCTGCCTGTTCTAATCAAGAAAAGAAAGCTAAAATGCAATTTAAAAAGGCTAATAATTGGTAAGCTACTCTAATAATTGGTATGCATGCTACTCTGCACTAATGATAAAACCTGAAGAAGCCTGCTGCTAACAAAGCCTTAACGGTAGTTATCACAAAGGAGATTTGAAGTACCAAAATGCAAAGCAGTTCCAGACAATTGAATAAGCAGAGAGATACTGTGTTTTCCTGTGTTTATAAAATACATTAATAAACAGGTATGTAATTAAGGCTACTATTTTTTCCACTTTAGGTTTTAAAGACCAGGTTGGCTGTCGGTAAAACAGGGCAATATACTGGGATGTTTGACTGTGCTAAGAAGATCTTAAAAAGAGAAGGTGTAAAGGCCTTCTACAAAGGCTATATTCCTAATATTCTCGGTATCATTCCTTATGCTGGCATTGACCTTGCTGTTTATGAGGTGAGTTTAGATCACTGAATGTGTGTAGCTTTCATTAGTTAATTTACAAAAAGGGGAAATATTCTTTCGAACACCTGTATCATTAGTTAGATTTGTAATATGCTTGTAGTATTACAGTTGCCTTCAATTTAAAATAGATAAATGTGAATTTCTGCTAATCTTACTAGACTTTAATGTTTTTCTTTGTTCACCCCTCCTGGAGGAGTGCCTGTGCTAATGGGCCCTTACATGCAACAGTACCAAACAAGGAATCTACTCATAAGACAGGATTATATAGGCCTTGGCAATACAACATGCTTGCATACTTAAATAACTCTGTTGGACTGGAACATACCTATTCTAGAGCAAATATGGGCCTTAAAAACCTGATACGATATTCATATTATATTACCTATCCTGCATTTATGATACTTAATACATTTTTTTGCCATTTTCTCTGATTTATAATTGGATTATAGTAACATGAATTCCTTGTGTATTTGGGCATGTCACCAGAATTCTTTATGGCTGACATACAGCTGTTGTGAGGAGTTTGAAACACCACTGTCTTTCCTTTCAAGAGGAACTGGCACCTCTTACACCCATCAGCAACAATTAAAATGTTTTATCTACCTTAGATGCTAGGTGTTGCTTCAAAGTCTGTTAAGTAACTCAGATGCAGAGACTAGGTTTTTTTCCTAGTCTAGACAAATCTTTTTGTGACACTGCAGTAGTAATCAGCAGAATTGCTTGAGCAAAAGTTTTCAAAGCAGTATGGAAGTTGTTTTCTACAGTTTGCATCCTTGCTTCTGCATGGGGTGACGTGCACAGCTTTTGTTTGCACCCTGTGAGGTGCTGAGTTGTGTTCCCCTCCTCCTCCCCCCAAAGTATTAACAGGTCTAGAACACGGGCATTGTTGCTGCTGCTGGATCTTTTAAGGATTTCTCTTCTAGGCACTAACCACTGTAGTCTGGTTAAAGTCCTTGCCTGTGTGCTAAGGTGTTTACCTGTGCACTACATGTAGGACTGGTGTAGTGAGATTGTTGCTTTTCAGGATTGAGCCCATAATATTTCTTAGGAATAAAGATGTATTTGTTTACTTTCTTGAATGCAGATCTCTTGTCTTATTATTTAATTTTGTATCTTGGCAGCTCTTAAAGAGTACATGGCTAGAACACTATGCATCAAGCTCTGCTAACCCAGGTGTCTTTGTATTGTTGGGATGTGGCACTGTTTCCAGCACATGTGGGCAGTTAGCCAGTTACCCTCTTGCTCTTATCAGAACACGCATGCAGGCTCAAGGTGAGTTCTGTTGTACTGAAAATGTTTCTGTGTGGTCATATCAAAATTCTATTGATTGGGATAGCTGTAGCAGAGATGTGGGAATAAAAAAACCCAACTTGGAAAACTAAGGACTTATCTGGAACATTCTTCTTAACATTGGTCCTTTCTCCCTATTGCCCCCAACATTGTTTTTCATCATACTTAATTCACGTGTAACACTTCAGACACTAGTGCTCTGAGAGCCACATTCCATACAAGACTACCAGACGTAGAGCTCCTGTCACAGTCTGGGAGCCCTTTTCTAAAAGTTAGAATGTTTCCTAAATTTTAGAAGTAAAAGGAAAAGGACTTGCATAATTCTGTGGAGGTAGACAGCAATGTTTGGTCTGGAGGACATTTCATAAAGACAGTTTCATAGCTGAGATTTTTGTTTGATAGGTTTGTGCACAGACTAAGGATAGGAGCCTAGATTTCCAAAGGAATGTAGGTGGATAATGCTTTTCAGTAGGATTTAGATGCATGGATCTCTCTCCAATGCCTGGGATCAGAGAGATCTCTCTGTGAGGGCTCAAGTTTTAATCAGTGGCCCTAGAGGTGATAGTAGGCTCATCACCCAGGTGTTTAATACTTGCTTAAGAATTTTAATATTACTAGAACTGTTGTGTGACACATTATCTTTTTGTTCTAGCCTCAGTGGAAGGAGCTCCACAGCTAAACATGGTTGGTCTCTTTCAAAGAATTATTGCTGTAGAGGGAATCCGAGGACTTTATAGGGGCATAGCTCCTAATTTTATGAAAGTGCTTCCAGCTGTCAGCATCAGCTATGTTGTATATGAAAAAATGAAGCAGAACTTGGGAATAGCATGAAATGAAGAAAAAAGGTGAGATGCTTCTAATGTTGTTGGAAACACCAGAACAAAAATGATTTCTCAAGTAATCTGCTCTCACAATTAGAGACAGACCTTTGTGGAGAGTTGCTGCCCTGAAGTGGGAAGAAACTTTCTTAAATTCTAGTTCACCGTTTGTAAACACATACCTATATTGCACTTTAAAATGTCACTGAGTTTAAAAAAAAAAAATCAAGAAACTACCTTTAAATCAACAATATGTTTATATTTTCAGAAAATCATGCATATTTTACTCATGGCTTTTTTTTTTTGTATTTGTCTTCTCTAAATGTGTATTTGGCTTGGATCAAACCACAGGTAGAAGTTTATACTGCCTTAATACTGAATATATGAAAGTGACTTTTTGTTTTGTCACGCTGCCTGTAGTCAAATAATTCACAGGCAACATTTTGCATGCTTAGAAGTAAGCACTTCTAACTACCGTTATTTTTGAAGACTTAATGTTAAGTTTGTAAAAAAAAAAAAAAAAAAAGATGAAGTAACACATCAAAATGTAGCCCATCACCTTTATCTTCAGGCTAACCTTTTTTTTTGATACAGACAAGGATGAAGTAACACATCAAAATGTAGCCCATCACCTTTATCTTCAGGCTAACCTTTTTTTTTGTTTTAATTTAAAGAATAAGAGCCTGAGAAACTGCTGTTCCGTGGTATCAGAATACCTCAAATGGATTTACACGGTATTTTTATAATACAATCAGTGATTTTCATAACTTGCTTCACTGGACCTGCTTTTCATTGCACTTGTAAATGCTAGCACCATTACCCATGACAAGCTTTGGGTTACAGCTGCACGTTTTATAGGATCATAATATACAGGAACAGAAGAAGCTTGGTTACTAAATCCATTCCATACAAGTGCAAGTTACTGTTTAAAAATGGGCTGGAGGATCCATATTAAGCTGATAGTGATTGTAATACAGCCAATAGCGGAGCTCATCATAGCTGCCTTGGGGAGAGAAATGCTACTCATTTTGGACTCTCCATTCTTTCCCTTGCTCAGAGGGCTACAGTCCACTATGTGCTTTTAGCCAATAGAGGATTGCATTATTATGTAAAGGTTTTACAGGTTTGTCACGCGAGATAAATCCTCTTTTCCTCACAGTCTTCTGTGCGTGCTGGCTGTGTGTGTGAGATTCAGATAGTAAAATACTGGAGCATTTTGCCCAAGTGACCAAATGGGACTGCTGATCTCGGGTGCCCATCAGATTGATGTTAATGTAGCAAGCAAAGCATGCACACAGGCCTTGTTAGTGCTTGAGAAACAGCTCCTCCTCAAAAAACAAAGCAGCACTTCCTCACTGTGGCAAGTAGGTATTTCCATATACAAGTACTTCCAAAGTGACTTCCTTTTTTGGGGGTAGGGGTGGTGCCGTGTTTCAGTTGCCTTCAGGCGTGAACACTGAAATAGAGTAACAAATATTGCCGAACTCATTTGTTACTCTTTTTCTGCTTTCTGCAATGCGTGGTGTCTTAATCTTTGTAAATTTGGGATTATCTTTATACTTAATTTGACCTTGTAAAAGCAACTGCTCTTAGACCACTTCCTGAAATTGGACTACTGAAAGAAGAACTTTGTTCCTGTAAGGTCATTAAGGGTCTCTTTTTTTTAATCTTTTTTTTTTTTTTTTTAAACAAACAAACAAGCAAGCAAACATGAATAACTGCCTGAACCTCCTTTGTTCCACATACAGAAGACTATTTAGGCCATATTTTTCAAACAGCAGTCAGATGTAAATCTGTGTTCAGTGCTTCCATGGCTGATGTTTATTCTCCATAAACTGATATATAACAACTCCATAAAATTTGTACTATAAAATGTTGTTTTATCAGATTTCTGAAAATGGCAGCTTTAGCTGTGTCTTTTGGCCTTCCCTTTAGGGAAACCCTGGACTTTGCACTTTTTTTTAAAAAACAAAAAGTCATTCTATCCAAATCATCCATATGTACAATGCCTTTCTGATCTGAATGTTTCTTGGTTTTGCCAACATTCTTGTACCTTTGTGGGATTTGTGAGATCATTTCCCAATCATTTTGTTTGACTGTGACCAATAAGCAAATGTATTGTGTGTGTGTGTGATGCGGAGATGACTTTAGCAGTGTCTATCTTCTAGACTTGCTCCATTTTGTTTGTAGTGTGCAAGTGCCATTATGAGTATTGAAAATTATGGTAATGATGTTTTCAAATGTTGAAAAGATGGGGTCTTTCAAATTTAATTTTTCATTATGTGCCTTTATGATGACTGTGTTCAATTGTGTACTCTTTGTCTCTTAAACATATGTTTACCTTTTTAGCTCTATAAAACTACCAGTTTCTAATAAATGTTTGTTTCCTTATCTGGCTGGAGTGTGCTGATGTTTTTTTCCTGGCCTGATCGACAGATGACACTTCTTTATTGCACTATATGCATAATACTCAATGTAAAAAATGAAGGTAATTTATCTAAAAATAGGTTTGAGACTAGCCTATGCTTTGCTATTACATTGATGCTTGAAAACCTAGTTTGAGACTAGTTGATTGTCATCCTCTTTAAAACTCTAGCTGTCTTATCGCTTAATGGACCATCACATCATGTTTAATATTTTTGCTTGTTCATTGAACGTTATTACACCATGATTTGCTTCTGTGTATGCTGCATGACAGAACTCTTAATAATAAGGACAAACATATTTGCTTGTGTTCTTAATGTTTACCTTGCTTTGATGTTAATCTTACTTGTTAGTCAAAGGATCAATATAAAATCTTTTCAAGGTAATTGACTTGATGTACACTGCGTGTGTAGCATGGCTATTCTACTAAAAGCATCATCAGTAGCCTGCTTTGACAACTCCTTATGAGTTTTTCACACCAATCCTCCAGATGTTAAAGATAATTGTAAACAAATTAGGGAGGCTTTTCTTGCCTCTGATTTCCTGCAAATACAGTTCTTGTAACGTAAGATTTAGAAGTTTCCTTTTAAGTAACAGAAGAGGTAGATGCTCAGTGTGTGATTCCTGACTAAATGAACAATCTGACATTCAATTCTACTCGAGGCAAGGATGTTTTTAACTGGAAATTCTCTGCAATTGGAAAGGCTGGGCTGTGAATGATCTCTCTCACAGTGATCAAGTGGTAAGGTGTGCTCTCGAAGATGTCTGAGTTAGATGGTCCCCCCATCCCCTCTAAAAAGAAAATTTAAACTGCTACAAAATGTAGTACAGGTATTTAAAATATTGCTTTCAAGTTAGCTTGTTGGGAAACTGAATTCTGCAGTCTTCTTATCAAAGACTGGTCCTGATAAGATGCTTTTTTGATGTATAGGAGTTATTACACAGGCAGCATGTATGATTTTTGGCTTTTGAAACAGCTCAGATCTGCAATGCATGTAGTACCATTATTTCTAACTGCTTGTGTTAAAATAACACTGAGGCAGCAAAAACACATGGACAGGCAGGCAGTTCAGGACAGCATACTTCTCCCCCTTATAAAAATATTTTTACTATCATTTTGAAGTTTGTTGTGTGTTGGCCAGGGGAAATAGAATGCTAAGCAAGTATCTCAATAATTTCTTCAATCTTGTTCCTTTAGTTCTTAGTGTATTCCACCAATGTATTTTCATAATCTGTTGAAATAGTGTGTTTCCATAATGTATTCTGAGTTCTTAAATTAGTGGTGATGAATTTGTAGGTTGCTGACTACTTTTGTCCGTTGTCTTAAAAAGTTTAGTCTGAAACTTGCTGAATTCTACAGTCCAGAAAAATCTTTCACATTTCCTCTGTATCTTATCTTTTGCTAGGTGCATGCAAAGATAGTGCCTGTAGATCATATGAAAAATATTGCCATACAACTTGCTACTGCCTCTTCAGTTAGACTGAGGCATGAAGAGGATATAAATTATGTAGTGTCATCAGTAAGTTAATAAGAGGTTCAGGAATTATGCATCCACATCCAAACTGATCCCTAACAACTCTTAGCTTTTCTGGGGTGTTCCTTGAGCAAATGATTCGTCCTAGTAGGCCTATACATAAGAGGCCCAGAAGGGAAAGGAAAAGCTTTATTTGTTTTCCTTTCAAGACATACGTGGGATGTGACTGCTATTCAGTAGCATTAACACTAGAAAACACTGCAGAAATGGCTTGGAATTTGAAATAGGGCTGCCAATGTGTGTCTTCCCCTCTTGACTGTGGTGGGCTTCCTGGCAGGATGTGCCTGCTCCAGCGGCTGCAGCAGTGGCATTCCTCACAATGGCAGCAGCCCAGGCCCAAGCTGTCCTGCACACCTGCCAGTGGAAATGCCACGGTGAGCACTCTGTACTGAAACCCACTTGGCAGCTTTCCTTTCTGCAAAAGAACACTGGGTGCTGCTGCACTACCCTGGAGAGGCTGGGTGTGGACCTGCCTGACACCCAAATTAGCCTTCCGAGGCCCAGGTTGAGATGACTTCTGTTTTTTACTGTCTTATTTCAAACCTCTGAGCTAGCTGCACTTGTTGGTGTGCAGCAGAATGTATTGGCATCTTTTTATTCCCTTCTAATATTTGAAGGTTAGAGAAGGTATGGCAAGAAGTGCGTTGCAGTATGTGATACTGCTACACATAAATCACTAAAATATCAAGGATGTCTTAACCTGCAGGCTATTGCCGTGTAAGGAAGTATGGTTTTTAAATGCTTCCCCTTCTGATACCTGAGTGGTCTTGGGGATGGCTTTTAAGGCTTCCATTAAAACAAGATACTGATCTAAACTGTATGTTGTGGAGAAAATAATTGGTGAGAACTGAATATTCAACACAAAGAGTGATTTTGGAATATTGGCAGTCTTGCTGTGTGAATTGTGTCTAGCTTCTAAGCCCTCCTGCTGTCTGAAAATGTGTAGGAAAAATTGCTACTTTTTTTGTCAATATTTGTGCAATTCAGGGTAAAAATTATTTGTGTTCTGGCAACTAACTACATGTGTGAGTATTGTGCGCCTAAGATCTTAGACTTCGAGTCTGTTTTGCTAAAGAAAGGAGTCTAGTATGTACTACATAGGTGTATAAAAAACCCCATAGTGTATATACAGATACATAGATATTCACATATATATATATATCTATGTAAGTATAAAACCTTTTCTTCTCCGCATCAAGTCTGTGCATCTCCTTGGTGCAGTAGCTGGAGCAGCTTCCAGAACAGCCTTTTGATTGAACACTCTTCAAGCAGTGAAACTGCTGTCCCT